TGAGGAATTACAACGAAATCACACATGTCATATGATAGCTATTTTGATAATTTTCTTTTAGCTCGAATGTTATTTTACCGCTCGTGTTGTGTGAGAGAGACGACGGTAGAGCATGAGTGTTCGAATACAAACAGACTGTCGCGCACGACAACGAAGCGAGTGTAGTAAAAAACGTCGACTGTTTCAACCCCTGCTCCTGGCATCTGTTCCATATCTCATGCATTCCACTTCAACCCATTTAGTATAGCTATCCACCACTAGCAAAAAAAATTTCTTTTCAAAATAGAAAAAATCTGCATGTACGCGGGAAAATGGTTTTTTTGTCGGAATCCATTTGGAGTATTTTGCAGGTTTTGTAACCGCTGTCATTTCATTGCAAACGTTGCAAGATTTCACAAATCTTTCGATATCTGAATCCAATCCGAACCAAAACACACTTCTACGTGCCAGCTGCTTAATCTTACTCATACCGGAATGATTCATATGGAGAAGTTTTAGTACTTTATTTTTCATAGCATCAGGAATCATAACTCGATCTTTAAACAAAATGCAACCATCTACAATTTCCATTTCTTGATGAATAGCATACGCATCTTTAATTTTTTTTATCGAAACGTTCTGGCCAGCCCTTATCAATAAATATTAAAAGTTGTTTTGTAAAATCATCATCTTTTGTTGCCAGAGCAATTTCATTGTAATTTATCGGAAATTCATTCGTGAAGTTTAAACTTTTAACACATTCTTCATCTAAATTTGCTGGAATTGGTTCAGGAAGCGGAAATCTGGAACAAAAGTCAGCGTTCCCCAATCTGCTTGAAGGACGATAAATTATCTCGTAATCATAGATAGCAAGTTCTCTCAAATAACGCTGTAATCTTGTTACAGAGATAGAAGTCTTCCCTTCTTTCCCAAATATACCGATGAGAGGCTTATGATCTGTATAAATAGTGAATTGTTTTCCGTACAGGTATTTGTGAAATTTTTTTACAGTGCTTACAATAGCCAAAGCCTCAAGATGTGAAATTGGGTAATTTTTTTGAGCGTTGTTCAATGAAAAAGACGTAAAGCATACAGGCCGTTCTTCGCCGTGTATCACATGCGCCATCACGCCTCCTAAACCATAAGAGCAAGCATCAGTTACTATTGCTACCGGTTTTTCAGGATCAAAGTACTCCAGTAGTTTAGGTTTCAATAGGTAATGTTTACAAACATTGAATGCCTTTTCGCACTGCGTGCTCCAAATATATTTAACATCTTTTTTAAGCAAATTATAAAGACAACTGATTCTGGATGATAAATTTGGGATAAATTTGGCATAATACGTTACCAGTCCCAAAAATGCCTTTAATTCTGTCACGTTTCCAGGAGCTTTCGCTTCGCGAATAGTTTTAACTTTGTCAGGGCAAGGTAACAACCCTTTGTCCGTTATTACATGCCCCAAGTAAGGCAACTCATTTACAAAAAAATTGCATTTATCTAATTTGACTTTGATATTAGCTTTGGCTAACCTTTCCAGAACTAAATAAAGTTTTGCTTTGCAATCTTCTAAATTTTTTCCAGAGATCAATACGTCATCCAAGTAGCAAACAACGTTTTCCAAACCTTGGAGCACTTGGTCCATTACTTTTTGAAAAATAGCTGCACTAGAAGCAGCTCCTTGTGGCAAACGTTTGTAAAGATATAAACCCTTAATGGTGTTTATCACCATAAACTTCTTGGAACGCTCTGATAACAAGAGTTGGGTGTAAGCACCAGCTAAATCTAGCGAACAAAAAACTTTTGAACCACTAAGGGTGGCAAAAATGTCTTGAATCAGCGGCAAAGGGTAAGAATTCGTGACAATGACTTTGTTTATTGTGACTTTACAGTCAATAACAAGACGAATACTCTGGTCTTTCTTGACCACCGCAACTACAGGTGAGGCCCATTCGCTGGCTTCAATTGGTTCAATAATTCCATCGTTCTCCAAATTATCTAAACAATCTAAGACTTTCTGTTTCAGCCGTAAAGGAACATCGTATGCTTTCCTAAACATCTTTTAAAACCAAATCACCAACATAACCTTTGATTGGACGAGACAAATCTTTATCAAAAACCGAAGGAAACTTACGCTTTACGTCGTTTACTATCTCCTCTTCCTGCAGCGAGTTGATGCAAGTTGTAGCCAGTGTTTGTTGATTGAATGCTCTTCTCCAGTCTCCAAAAAATATGTCCAGCCAGCTTCTTCCAATCAGAGGCACGAATTTGTTATTGCATCGTAAAACAATCAAAGGAAGACGTTGGTTTAATCCGTTCAGCTGCACAAAAACATTCGCCTTTCCCAAAACCTGTAACTTTTTGCCATCAATAACCACCAACCTTTTGTTGCACACCTCCAGGCTTAAATCTTTAAATTTTCTTAGGAAAAGTTCTTCTGAAATTACACTTTCCGCTGAACCGCAATCCACTTCCATAGTAAGGGATCTGCGTTCAATTTGTGCGTCAACATAACAGGGTTCATTTATCTTATTGATTGAAGAAATCATCAAGCATGCAAAATCCTCTTCATCAGAATTGTCCTCTAAATCAGTCTTTAGTCGCTTGAAAAGCCCAGAAGAGTCTGAAGTACTAGGCTTGGGAGAGCCAACAAAATTTACATTTGGTTTACTTTCACGTGGGTTTTTTTCTTTAAGACGAAAACAATACTTTTTTGTGTGTCCTCTCTTCTTGCAATGAGAGCAAAAATATGCTATTTTCCCTGGACTGTTATTATCTCTGCTGTCATATCTGCGATCATATCTATTGTAACCTTCATTTCTAAACCGAACAAAACGATTCCTACTATCGCTTCTACTCCTTCCTCTGTAACCCGATCCTCGACTTGATCTAATAGGTGATCTACGACCAAGCCTTGCTATGACGCCTAGTCGTGGTTCATCGTCCCTTTTCAACGTATTGGTTCTGTCCGACGCTATTTCTTTGTTTACTATTATTCTCTCGGCCTTGCTAGCTGTGAGGTCTTCTTCGTCGAATAGGCGATTCTGCATTTGACGGTCATAAGTCCCTATAACAAGCACATCTCTAATTGCTCTGTCTTTAAATGTACCAAAGTCACATTGCTCAGCTAAAGTTTTCACATCAAGTACGAAATCTACTTTGTCGTAATGTTTTTTCAGGTTTTCCGTGATTTCTTTGTACGTAAGGTCTTTGAAATCGCGACCGGGGAATAACAGTTTTAATCGAGAAAAAACTTCAGTGCCACAAACAGCTAAGAAGGATGATTTATAATCATCCGGGGCAAATTTGTTATGATCAAACATCCATTCAAGTTGCTCCAAATATTGAGCAAAAGGAATGGTTCCCGGCAAAAAAAGGCTCGGTACTGGTGGACAATGGCATCTTGAACAACAGGCGATGACAGCACCGAACTCACCAGTAGCAGCAACAACAACGTTTCCTCCGATGATTATTGATAGCAGCAGCAGCGATGTTCTCACCACCACAGCAGCTAACAGCAACAGTAGCAGAACCAACAGCAGTAGCAAATACGCCACCACTACAATAGCAATACTGTAAAGGTCAACGTACGATGTCGCAACTAAATCCAATTGAAGTTTTCACTGAACAATTTTCCTTCTAATGCTCTTTTTCTCTCTTCTCACTTAATGTACGTTTTCACAATGACTTCCACGGATGCCGCAAATATCACGCCTCACTATTCCTGATGGCACAAAACGAAGATAAACTAAATTAAAATGATATGAAAACCGGGTGAACAGAATAAAAGAATCAGCGTTACGAAACAGCCAACTGCGATTTTTTTTTTTTTTCACAAAATGGCGTTGCTGATAAAAATACGCTGCATAAGGATTTTCTCTTTGTTGGCTAGATACAATTTGACTCGGTCCAAAATTTTAACAATCACTGAGTGAGGAAAATCACTGATGTTTATAGCAAAACTAGCAAAAATGTCTACAAAAAGGTATGAAAACCACGCCACTAGCAGAACAATAGAGCTCAACGTTATTCTTCTGATAACAAAAAAAAATTCTTACTCTTGCTCGAATAAAATGTCTACCACCCGATGATAAAAATGTGGGCTTTCACAAATTTCCCCGTTGATAATTCGTTTATCCGGGTAAATACTGCCACTACGATAATCTTCACTAAGTTTTCACTAAATTTCACTTTTTACACGCGTTGAAAGATTCCTATTCCATCCTCGTCTCCACTGTTTTAACTTGGCCTTCTTCGGATAGAGATTCTATCTATAAATCAAACAACTCGTTCGGTTGATAATCACAAACGATTTAACTCATATATATTTCTCCTGGCATCTGTTCCATATCTCATGCATTCCACTTCAACCCATTTAGTATATGCCGAATGTAAACAAGAATGAAAAAAGCACACGCTAAAAATTGTTTCTCTAATTCTATATTGCTGAAATAAACATGCGTTTGAATTTAATTCTACCATAAATATTTTAGTTTTAAACATGTTTTCAATTTAATTTGAATAATTCATATGTTAAGAGCATAAACATTTATATTTTTGATTTAAATGAACCAAATTCGTATCCGTGATTAGATGTGCCGTGCGATGATTTATTTAAAAAATCGAATACGCCGTTTTGAAAAATTTGGTGACTTTCAAAACTGCCAATTTCCAGCCCACAGTGAACAAATGTGCGAAGTATCATGGAATTCGGAATTCAGAGAGGGGAAAAATAAATCGATTCGTCAATTAGCATGTATTTGCTTTGGTAAAAGAAATTCCAAAATCAATAATGTCACTGCCTAGATCTAAGCCTGCAAACTTCCACGTCCACAATGATGTGCAAATATGTTTGGTGAAGCAGTCCCACAAAGCGATTATAAAAAAACAATTTGCAGATTGTACACCACGCGCAACGCATGTCCTAAAAACTCGCAAACATGCCACAAACACATAGCATCGCGTAAATTGATGATTAATTTTGTTTATTTTTAGAAACCTCCTCAATTTCCTTTGTCTTTCAGGAACCATCCCGAAGCGGCTGACGGTCGCCGTAATGATCTTCGTGGCATGTGTAACATCGTTCATGATGCGTGTCAACATGTCGATCAATATACTTGCCATGGTTCAGCCGACGGCCTCGCTTGCAAGGCTGCCAACAAACCACACCACAATCATACAAGCGGCAAAACTAGTTAATGCTAGCAGCAGTACGGGGGATGAATCACCGATCACAGCCACGACTGTTGCAGCACTCCTTTCCGTTGACAATGGGACGACCGTTTCATATGATTCGTCGCGCATTGAGAAAGATCCGGAACTGCAGAATTTCGGTCCCCGATATAGGTGGGATCAGAAAACCCAAGGCAACATCCTGGGGGCTTACTTCTACGGATATCTGCTCACTTCGCTACCAGCTGGACTACTAGCCGAACAATTCGGGCCGAAATTGTTGATTGCTGTTTCCTTTGTAGCGAGTGCCATCACAACCGCCGTAACGCCAGTGCTGGCCGAGGTAGGAGCATGGGCTGTAATAGGCTCGAGAGGTATGATTGGCCTGTTGGCGGGCTGTGTCTACCCATGCCTGCACAATCTCATATCCCGTTGGATACCGCCGAATGAAAGAGGCAAAGTGATTGCCTGCATCGCTGGTGGAAGTACCTTCGGAACTGTGATCACATGGCCCCTAGCCGGTATCATAACCGAAAAATTCGGTTGGGCAACCTCGTTCTACGTATCGGCAGTGTTTGTCCTGGTAATTGCGATCATTTGGGTGTATCTGATTGAGGATTTACCGGCTCAGCACAAATCCATAACCGCAGAGGAAAAACAGTTCATCGAAGAATCGTTCGGTGGGACGGTATCAAAGGCAAAGTCCAAGCCACCTTTCGGTAAGGTGCTCATTTCGCTACCCTATCTGTCTCTCCTGCTGCTGCACTATGGAAATTTCTGGGGCATGAACTTCTTCATCACTCAGGCTCCGAAGTTCATGAACGAGGTTCTAGGGTTCAACCTGTCCAGCTCCGGATTCCTGTCCAGCTTGCCGTATCTGGCACGAATGTTCTCCGGATTCTTCTTCGGATACATCGGTGACCTGATCCGAACAAAGGACCTCATGAGCACAACCGCTATCAGGAAGTCATTCTGCTTGTTCTGTAACATTCCTCACTGCAGCTGTCGTGAATCACCATTAATAAATCCTTCCATTTTCCAGCTCACCTCATTCCGGGAGCAATTCTAGTGGCCCTTCCATTCATCGGCCAGAATCCATTAGTGTGCGTAGCATTGATCGTGGCATGTTTGGGCGTCAACGGAGCATCCACCATCACGAATCTTGTCAATGCCCAAGATCTCGCTCCCAATTTTGTAGCCACCCTCTACGGTATGATGAACTTCATTGGCACTACTGCTGGATTTGTTGCACCCATGCTGGTGGCACATTTCACTGCGGAGATGGTAAGTCCAGGTTGTAATTAACAATTGGAAACAGTTTACTCATGCACCTTTTTGCAGAACACGATGGAGCAATGGAAGAACGTTTTTCTGATAACTGCTGCCATCTACATAGCTACCGGAGTGTTTTTCATGTTTTTTGGATCAGGAAAGGTTCAAAGCTGGAATGAGGTCAGAGATCAAGCTTCGGCAGAGGTTGCTACTGCAACGGGCCCTCCGGACGAGTGTAGTAACGTTAAGAAAGAATGACTGGTCCTGTGCATTCATTGTCAAGCGTGTCAGTATTGTTCTAGGAAAGTGTAGTGATAATTGTGTAGTTTAGCGAATATTTATTTATGTTTCTTGATGAAATAATAAAAACCTGAATTTTTCCACCTATGGTAAAATCTAAAGGGTGTTACGATCAAAATTTGGTCAAACATGAATGCGTGTAAATTGATTAAACGTTTTATTAAAAAAATCAAATTGTTTCTTTTTTTAAATTTAATTCGCATAAAATACAGAGAAAATATTCAGCTAAGCTTTCGGTTGACCGTATTCGAATTTCCGGACCTTTCGTTTGACTCCTCCAATCAGATTCTGTACAGCCTCCTCGTCCACTTTGTTCGCAGCAGAACACCAGTTTGCCTTAAACTGCTTCTCGCTTCCAACAGTTGTTTTGGGTCTTCTTCAGGTTCCGCTTGACGATGGCCCAAATTTTTCGATTGGGTGAAGTCCTGGCGTGTTGGAAGGGTTGCCTTCCTTGGGCACCACCTGCACGTTGTTGGCTGTATACCACTCCTTGGCTATTTTCCCATAATGGTAGGAATACAATGCGTTGAGCAAGAATGCATGGCATAGTAAATTTCACTACATAAATGAGTTCAATTTAAATACAAAGAAACTGCGAAAATGACTATGACAAACTGCATTGGTGAATAGTACTTTTTTCAACATTTACTGTATTTTCAACAATATATTTCTTTATATTGACTGATTCTGTTAATAGTATTTCTAAAATTTGTTGTTATTACAACATTTGTTTCAGTGTATACATAAAATGTATACCCCTTTGTTAAAATAACCGAACGTACACAGAAAAACCCGAATTTATCCACCTATGGTGTGATCAGACCCTTCTTACTTATTCAAGTTTATTTATTTTATTGTCATTATCAGTGACCAAGCCCCCCACCCCCGTGTCATCCAGTGACGCTACGCCACTGCCTGGGGGTACCCGGAATATATCCGGGTGTAGTCTATTTGGTGAGGCTACCAATCACCTTATCATCGTATTTTAATGTGATTTAATGGGTTTTAATTCAATTCATATTCAAGCAACTTCCCCGGGGTACCCGGTGTGGGATATAGGCCACTCTATTATATAAGAACAGCCCTATTGAATGAGAGTTCACTCTTGACTATTATCCCGCCAGTTAGTGCTCACCCCTGCCATAAGTGAATATCTTATTGGAGAGTAATCATCAGCTCTCTCTCTCTCTCTCTCTCTCTCTCTCCCTTTTCCCTCCCCTGTTACGCTTCAATCCCTTCGTGAGCACTTGCATTCTCACGAGGCAGACTCTGCCTCTTTGCACCTCGGACCATCGCGTGGATAGGACGTATTATCAAGTAAGTAGCCGATCATCCAAGCATCGTCCGACCATCCGATCCCCCGCTGAGGATTGGATGGTAGGACGCCACATTGGCGATCCTGCCAGCTTCGAAATTATTTGTGACTTTATGCATCGAAAATAGGAAATTGTGATTACGAAATAACTTAATGTAGATCCTCAGAAAGTGATTTGCCGTATTTCCGATAATCGTTTCATTCTTGATATCAAACATTAGCTTTTCGTAGAAATTTAATTTTTTTTTTTTTTTTTTGCTGGCTGAGGCTAGTACCCAACTAACATTTTCAGCTTTGTAAGCCAACTTTTCCAGCGTTGTGCTGTAAAGTAGCTGAAAAGAAGCTGCAGATACAGCTACAAGCAAAAGTTAGCAAAATAGTTTTGGAGAGCGTTTACTCAACTTTCTCACAACCATTATTCAATTTGTCAGTCGCACTGAATAACATCAGCCAATAAACGCTAATGTCACTTCTATACACACACTACCCAACTTTCAACTTGTAGCTGCAAAACAAAGCTAACAAAGTGAATATATTACTCATTTGATGGCTTCTACACAACCAACCACTCTTGCTGAATAACACAAACATCAAAAGTGCTTTTTCAACAACTAAACAACCTATACTCAGCTTATAAACTGTGTTAGAGCTACTTCGGAAGCATTTTCACATTCAACTAGGTTTATTTTTAGACGGTGCAGTTTTACAGCTTTTACTCTGCTCTTTTATAACTAGTCGAGAAAAGTGATTCATGTGTACTATTATTATGCCTCTACTCAGCGATTTTGTTGTAGAAGGGAATGTTGATTTGTTTACATAAGTTCAAAGTGTTGGCGTAGCACAGTTGGTAGTGTCAAGGTTTGCCAATTAGGTCGTCTCGAGTTCGATTCCAGGTTCTCTCCGGTGCAGGGTAAATAATTTGGTGATGATTTGTAACTAATTTCGATTAATTTGATTCACAGCAAAATAAACTCAATAAATTCCTTCATAAAAAAAGCGTAAACAATATTTAACCCGGCTTCAAGAGAAAGCTGTGTAGTGATTATTGGATAACCGGGAAAAGGTTGAATAAGCGCCTTTCAAGTTCACACACAACTAAAACAGCAGGATAACAGCTGTATAGAAGCGTTAATGGATATGCAATAAGAGCTTCTCCCGACCGTTCCAACAGCCATAAGTAGCTGACTAAGTTCGCCAGATTTGCTTGTATAGAGGTTGAGTAAAGGTTTCCTCATATCGTATAACGTTTGAATACAGCTTGAGACTGTATAAATGAAATGAGTGAAGCGTTTACATTGTGAAAATTGTTAGTTTGGTAGTGCGGCCATTTTCAATAATTTTGCTTTGGATCGGCTAGTAAAAAAAAAAAGAGTAAAAAATAATAATAATATTGTTATGCATGTCGATTACAAGGCTATAGAGCTACGAAAAAAATTGTTACAAACATGGAGTGTAGTGAATCGCGTCGATTTCATTGTAGTGTGGGTGTGCTTGGAGAGTTACAATCGTCGTTTGTGGTAATCGACGGATCAGCTTGGAAATAGCGTTTCTAGCAATAGCGCGTTGAGTCAACCGCTGAGAGTGTGCTGTGGCAGCCATTACGACATGTTTATTTAAAGTAGCGCGTTGGGTCAACCGCTTCCGTGTGCTGTGACAGCCTCGGCGAATTCTACAATAACGTTTTGCAGAAGCGCGTTGTGTCAACCGCTTAGGTGCGCTGTGATAGCCACTGTGACAAAGTAGCGTGTTAGGTTAACCGCTTCCGTGTGCTGTGACAGCCTCGGAAAATTCTACAATAATGTCTTGCACAAGCGCGTTGTGTAAACCGCTTCAGTGCGCTGGGATAGCCACTGTGACAAAGTAGCGCGTTGGGTCAACCGCTTACGTATGCTGTGACAGCCACTGTGAGAGAATAAATGAATAGCGTGTTAGGTTAACCGCTTCCGTGTGCTGTGACAGCCTCGGTGACCGTCTATTGCGCTGTGACAGCCACATTTATGTATTTTTTGTAAATAGTAAGCTGGATCATGTACTTCCATGTAGATTCTTCTAGGAGAGATAATCCAACAGAATGCGTTGAGTCGTGTGCATCAGCAGTGACACTGACATTTCTTGATCCACTAGAACAGCCATTTTGGCAGAAAATAACGTGTAAACGAGTAAATCACTTTAGAGGACTGTGGCTGTCAAAAGTGGAGTGTTAAATTTGATGGCATAGTTTTTTTTTTGTTCGATTACTGACAATTTTGCAATTGCTCGTAATTACTTTTTTTTCAATTTATCCGGGATATTAATGTGTTATTTTTTTTTTTTCAATTTATAGTCACTTCTGTAAAATGTTGGCTGGAAGATACGTACGAGCTCCATCAGTGGAGTCGTTGAGTCACTCTGATGAGCCTTGTGATCCAGATGAAGAGTATTTGGATAACATGGAATCAGAAATTATCGGAGCCACAGTAGAGGTGGAATCTCAGGAATGTGAGGTTAACGGCAAGGCTCAACGGTCAACGACGGCAAAACCTCGTGAGTCGGAGATTGGCTGGCGCTATTCCACTCAACCAGCCGCTCTCGTGCAAGCAGGAAACTCTACTTCAGGCGGTACTCGTTTGGATAACGCCCCGCATTTTCCGAAGAATGTACCTACGAATAGGCTTTGGGAAGAGTGGTATCGTTTTTTGGAGAAATTCGAGATCGCAGCCTCGCTTTCAAATGTAAATGACCCTGCTCAGCTTGCGAAACATCTCTTCATGTGCATGGGAGATGAACTCCAAGACATTGTGAGTATCGCCAAACTGAGACCAGGCTTGAACGATCCACGATGTTATCAAGCCATGATCGATAATATCAATGCACACTTGCGGAAATTAACGGATCCAGTCACTGAGCACGAGACATTCAGCAGGATGACTCAAGGAAAGGACGAAACAATTATCAGTTTCCATGCTCGCTTGAAATCGAAAGTCAGGCTGTGTGAATACAGTGAACAGGATGAAGACCGATTTGTTTGCACCCAATTGTTGAAAGGTATGCGTGACAGAAAACTGGCGGAAGATGCAAGAATCTACGGTCACGGCATAGACCTAATCGTGAAGGCTGCTGCACGGAAGGAAGCGTTCACAGTGAACACAATTGCTCACAATAGCGCGGAGGGTGGATCGGAAGTTCTTGCTATTTCTCGGAAATCATCTCAAGAAAACCAACCATTTCGAAAGCACAGTGGAAATGCTGAATTATTTGGTCAAAGGAAAATGCAGCAATATGAAGGAAACCGTAATCAAGGCCGTCGTTCTCGTTGCTGGAGGTGTAACAGTTCGACACACACACAAAATGTTTGCCCGGCCAGGAACAGGAAATGTTTTGGATGTGGCAAAGTAGGCCATTTTGCTTCAACTTGTCGTCATAAGAGCATCCGGAATGTCCGCGCTAAGGAAGAGAAGCATAATGTACCATCAGGTTGGACCGATGACGAAAATCAAAGCCAGGTATGAATCGACACTAGAAGTAGCTATATGTTGAGAAATAAACGTACAGATACAGTTACTACATTAAAGTTTACTTTCAAAAATCATTACTCCTTACAGAATATTCGCACTCTTTCTCTTGGTGATGTTTTGGTGAATTGTCGTTTGGGTTCGTCAAGTGCTATCTGCTTTCTTATAGACTCGGGGGCGGATGTTAACATCATTGGTGGAAGTGACTGGAAGATTCTGAAACATGAATATCATCAAAAGGTTGCGGAACCAGAACCAATCAGCATTCTGGCGGGAAAGGAGTTACGATCTTACGGTTCAGACAAACCTTTAGAGAGCAGATGTG